TTTGCCAGTGTGGAGGACGTTTCCTTCAGGATCCTTGGATGGACCTCGTCGGGCCACAACGCGCAGAATGGGTTGATCTTGTGCAAGAATTGACGAATGTCCTCCACCGTGAAGGCCAAGTCGGCTAGAGGCAGTTCGTAGTTTCGCCTTGACAAGAGTGGATGTGACGAGGACGCCGGGCCTGAGTATAGACACGCATGGTGCTCAAAGTAAACCTGTGTTTGGTCACTCGTCGGTTCTCCGTTTCTGCCTCTCAAGGAGAAAACGGATGGCTTTTTTCTGCGGCGATGTCTCATGTACCTGAACAGTGCGTTTTTGTTTTTGTCGAGCGAGGCCCAGAATGGTGGATTGTTTTCGTATGTTCCATTGACGGATTTCCGATTTACAGCTGTTCCGCATTTTACGAAATGCAGCGCACCTTCTGTATCCCCTGTGGTCAACTTTTTGAAAAAAGAGTTTGGATCTTTTTTCCAGAAGTTGCCGAATCCTTTTTGGCAGCCTGCGGTTCACTTGAGTGCGTGCCGGTTTTTTGAGACGAACGTCGCGTCAGCCTCGTAAACTTCCTGGACAATGGTCCTATATAGTTCTTCCACCGGAGTCGGTCCTAGTGTGACTTGTTCAAAGAAGATGCGCATTCCTGGGAAGTTTGCACGCAGAAGTCTCGAAACCACGCTTGTGGGTTTGGGATTTCTGGTCCAATAGAAGCACAATGGCCGCCATGTCCTAGTGGAGCGTTAATTGTTACCTGATCAACGAAGCGTCTTTCGTTGGTGATGACCAAATCCAGGAGGGATGGCAGTTGGCCTGCGCGGTACCTAGTGGGTGCGACGACATGTTGGGTCCAAGCGCTCTGTTGAACGACTTCAAACAGCGCCGCTGCAAAAAGTCCGCCTGATTTGACACGCTGGAGTTCCATCCAGGAGGCCTTTGGGGCGTTGAAGTCACCTACCTGCAGGAGATGAGTAAAGTGGTATTTGGAGGAGAGCTGCTCAAATATTTGTATGAGGAACTGGTCATCTTCAGGGGGGTCGAAGGGCCACGGTAGACCACGACGAGAAGGAGAGAATCGGACCCGCGCAGCGGGATTTGGACCCACAGTGCATCGCAAAAGGGTGCAGGGGTGGTGTCAGAGAGGACAATCGGGATTGGTAGGGCCGCATGTAAGTACAGAGCAACCCCACCAGCCCTCTCTCGTTTTGAGTCAGCTCAAAAAATAGAATAACCGTCTATCGAGATCTTCGCGTCAGAGACATCTGGTGTGAGTCAGGTCTCTGTGAGTGCGATTATGGACGGCTGTTCAAGGCAAGCTGACTGTTTAACATTGCCGAGTTTGTTGAAAAGGCTGAGGCAGTTTGTGGACAAGCATTTCAACACTGTCTCTGCTGCCTCCGAGGGTGAGGAGCCGAAAGTTGAGTGACCAGGTTGGTTAGCAGACTTAATAGTTGTGCACTGGGTTTGAGTTTGAGTCCAAGGCTCCGAGGGGGTTTCTGGGGCAATGTTGTCTCTACTTGTCTTTGTGGTTTCTGGGAGCGCTTTTCGCCTGCGAGGTTTATTCGTTCCTTGGGAGCTCGGTTTGCTCGAGCCGTTTGGCTTTGGGGGACGGAGTTTTTTCCCCATGGGCGAAAATTTCGACCGATGATGTTTGTAGCTCTTTCAGCATCCCCTTTTCGTCGACCAGCTTTGCTGTTCATCAAAGGTTTGCTGCTAGCTTTCGCCTTTCTGGATCCTTGGGTGTTTTGGCACGGTTTGACCGGAAAATTTTCTCTCAGAGGCGCTGAGAGCTGGGTGTTGGCGCCAAGAAGTAATGATTATGGTGGCGCTCCCAAATGGCTCGTTTTCGCTGAAGTAGATATCACGGAGATAAAGCAAAATGATGTGGAATGTACGTGTTTGGAGAATCGGAAGTGAATATTGTGGGAATGCATGGAAAGGGCCCTAAAGTTGAACTAGTGTATTGGTGTGGTCTGTGTGCAGTGAGCGATGTTATCAGGAGGGGACATCTATCACGAGTGATCAAGCATAAATGTTCTGGTGCATTGGTAAGTAAATGTTTGTAGTCTGCACCAGCTGGTATCCAGTATAATGGCGAAGGAGACGGCTCGGAAAGTTTGATTCATGGGTAGCACCCGTTTCTGGATTGGTGTGCATCATCCACGGTGACAGGTGTTACAACCCTCTAACCCCAACCTTCCAGGGCTCGACGGTACGAGACGGGAGATCAGGATAGGTTGGGATGCTGCGAAGTCATCCTGAAGAATATTTGTTTCTTTCGTAGGGGTGTTTGCCAATCCAGAGTCGAACGTCAAGCTTGGTGCCCATTAGACTCATAATTCTCTGGCTGCAGAGCCTTGATAAAACCTTTTGGACCAGAATGTTGCGTTTTGCTGCGTATGTGTTAAAACCAAAAAGAATCCCAATCTACGTCCATATTTTTACACGATACAAAATTTCACTGTCCACCTGAGCATTCATACCACTGGCGTAAAATCTAGCGGAATAATTTCCAAGCGTCGCTGAGACCACGGGTCGCCCAAATTGGGCTCAAAGGTTTGTACTGGTACTCTGAATTCAACTGAGTGATTGCTTCAGTCCATCAGGTACACGTCATAGGTTTCGAAAATTTAATTCCATGATGCGAATACTGAGCGACCCCAAGCTGTAACCTACTATATAAAATTCGCATTGCACGCGACATACAATCGCCGCCGATTTTAGTGAAAATTGAGGTTCGCTTCACCGGTGTGTTTTGGCATTTTCACTTGGATTTCAACAGATACGCGGAGTGCTGGCCCCAATTAACAATCCTTTGTCCCCTAGCTTTTGCGTGAACTCGTTGCATCAATTGACAATCAAGCGCAGAAGCTGACCTTGCATTTTTGGCGCTGTCTACGGATGTTTCTCGCGCGATGACGAAGACCAATGGCTATCCGGAGAGGGACAAAACTCAGCCTAATTTGGTGAGTTCCGTAGCGTGAAACTATGGAAGTGGGTGCACAAGGTAGTTTGATATAGAATGAATCAGGCCTATATGTGGATAGTGATGACAAATTTCGAAGACTATCGGTGCCCGGTTTTAATTTTAGGTGTGCAAAATATTTTGGGCTTTACCAGGAACATGTGCAGATAGCTTGGATTTCATACTGCCATAAAACCTGCCAAAAAGTGGGACTGGATTGCATTACTCTGGAATGTGTTCAATGTAGTAATCGGTGCTACATAATAAACGTCTCCATGTTCCATCGGGCCTCTACGCTTCTTATTGAATGCTGAGGCTGGAGCTTGATATTCCGCCTCATCTGTGGAATGATCTAGCAGCTGATGACGGTTTTCAACGCCTCAGAATGGATACCTCAGCGACGAATTCACCCCTTTGCAATTCACATCAACCAACATCGGTATAATCGTCAGTGAAAATGAAAAAAAAGACAGCTGAATCTCCACGGACCACCACTCCTTAGTCGGAGAAGTACTGAGGGGAACCAAACATAGTATTTTGGTATATAGTTTGCGTTAGATAGGATAAAGTACACCAGTTAGCATATGACCGTTAAGACATCTCCAAATAACGGTGACAATACGGGAGCCTATGATGCTGAGCAGGGTCGCTTCAGGCGGATGTTAGGCATTTGCCGTTATCTGTGAACCACTAGGAGTAAACTCAGCAGGGCTTGAATGAGCCTTCCGGTGGTGCGCGATGAAGAAGTCAGCCAGTAACACGCTTTTCGCAGCTGCTCATTTTGCCGAAGCAACTGATAATGCCATCGCCTTCAACGCTTGACTATATATCATACGTTCTCTAACTATCCGATGATAAAAAATGTGGCATTTGGTACATGGTCTGAAGCGTATAAGCTGGAATGAGTCGAATTCATCGGCGTAATTTCCTGCAAGTGATACAACCATCGAGATGGATCTGCTGAGTGAGTATTTGCGATGGTTCAGCTGCAATGACCAGTACAGGTGGAATATTTTTCCGGTATTGAAATAGAACAAAGTGAATAATTGGGTCTAATTGTTTCACATTTTTTTGGGGTTGGAAACAAACAGCGCGACGGCAACCGTGTGATCTCGGTCACTGAGACCTTATCCTGGAAGTAACTGTAATACCTAAGCAGAATACAGTTTGAACGATTCCTGCGAACTTATTCAGATTACGAATTCGCAAAGAAACTGTGAGGGAGGTCAGCCATAGATGGATTTTGGAGAAGGGAGTATTGGAATGATCCCTGGAAGGTTTTATTACAGGGTAGTGTCACGAAATAGATAGATCGTTAAAGAGAAACGTTACCTTCAGACGAATTAAGACGGTGGTTGCTTGTTGTATGTTAATATGACGATTTTTATAGAGTTTTAGAAGAATGCGGACACGATCCACAAATAATTGGCCTGGACGGAATCCTGACTGCGTTCCCCAGATCTGTTGTCCTCTGGTGCTATTGAGCCTTGTGGGATGACGTCTGCGAGAAGTCTTGAGGCAGTACGACTGACAGCCGTATGTGTTCCACACTCTATACTGGTGCTTTTTGAAAATGGAACATTTGAAAGTTGTCATTTTTGTACTTAGCGGTTTTTTGTAAATCTGCATCTTACCTGGAGTCCCTGGCTCTTGTTGAGGAGAGGGAATCGATTAGATGCCTTGTTTCTATTCAGAAACTCGAATAGATTGGGTGCCGCAAATCTGAAGGAATAGGATATATTGGCTTTTCTTTCCACACAAGTAGTTATCAATAACATCGTTGGAGGGGCGGACCAAACAAAGGGATTTTCAAAATGTCCTGTCCAATTCTCCAACGGTGGCTTTGTGAATGGGTAGCAAACAGTTCATTTTCTTGGACCACCTCGATTACTTTAGACTTTTTCCAAACCACCCTATCTAATGAAGCGAATTCCTTTTCAATCTATTCCTAGTGCCAAATTGCTTTATATTATCTGAGCTTTTATCACACACCATCTCCGACGGTCGCTTTTGATGCTCTGGGTCAGACCGCCCCTTAATTGCCCTTCAAGCAGCTTCAAATCGCTTTACGCGTTGGATTTTCTATTTTCCGGTGAAAAGAACCGAGCACTTGGAAAGCCATCGATATCCTGATTGACCTTTCCGCAGCATACTTAGAGGCTTTGGTTATGGTAGCTCGTAGCTTTTTCTAAACTCTGTTCTGTTTTTCCGCCAGCATTGCTATCGGAAACAGTCCAGTTTATTCTTTGTGATACTTTCCATAGACGGTCATTGTAGATAGTGCACTTTGTGTGGAGAAACAGACCATTGCTTCACTGTCGGGAAACGAACAACCAGTCGGTTTTGTAGCGAAGCGTGGTCGGAATCCGTGAAAATATTTCAAAGGGAACGAGAACCCTGAGCACATACTTGCTAACAGTTATTGGTTTTTATGTGGTCTTACTTTTGGGCGTGGTTGCTTGTGGTTTCGGGTGCTACTAGCTGACAGTTTGTGAATGTCTGAGCTCAGAGTTGGCGCTCACAATAGACACTATGGTCTGAGTGAATCCGTCGTTTTTATCTGTTCTTGGGGCGAACGAACAAATTTGTCGCACAAGGGCTGGTCACCATCACAAAATGTTCATGTTACCAGCTATAACTAACATGTTAGAATCTTGCCTGTCATACAGGCTTCGATGGAATTGTTCGTTGTCATCCATACTGCATTCTGTTGCGGTATAGGGAAATATAAAAAGTGATTTACTTATATATCACAAAATTTCATGTTACCAGCTATAACTAACATGTTAGAATCTTGCCTGTCATACAGGCTTCGATGGAATTGTTCGTTGTCATCATCCATTCTGCATTCTGTTGCGGTATAGGGAAATATAAAAAAGATCGGAAG